AAGATCTTGCCAATAAGGTAGCAGAGTAACATCCGGAGCTGTGTTGTAATGACTTCCGATAACCAAAAGTGGTTTGCACGCTATCGGTTCCTTTAGGAGCTATGATCGCGTGCGTGTTATTCATTTAGAATCAACTTTCCTATCCCTCCTCCTAAGATGAATCCTCCAAGTTCACCAGTATGGTGGTGAGCGGCAAATAACATTTCTAAGAACATCTACTGCATGCAGACAGGAGATACAACTTGCCTGGAAGAGGTCGTGGATGTTTAACCACGATAGAACTTTGAGAGAGAGAGATCAGAGCTTACTTATAATAATAATAATAATTTACTTTATTCCAAAAAAAGTACTTGTGATACAGAATGGAATTTTCAGAATTAATCACAATATTTGCATCTAATTTCCTCAAATTATAAATAAAATTAATCACATAGAAAATTTTTCCACATATACAATAGGGGTAATGTCAAAAATGGAAATAATAGTAATAATAATAGCAGCTAGGGTAATAAAAATAATAATACAAGTGAAAATTACCGTGGGCTTGTTTCACACAGCATTGTCGATGCGGTATAAAAATCCTTGCATGTTTAAAAATATTGAATATAATGTTCTCTTTACATGATATGGTGAGGGGAAAAACAAAGATTACCGCAGTCATAGATATAAGTTGGTGTTTGCAATTATGAAAGTAAAACAAAGAAGCAACAGGACCATAAATATAATAGAAATAATAAAAGTAAAACTTGAAGGTATATAAGGATGGATGGAGGAAATTGTTTATTTACTAGATGAAAAAAGGTTAGTTAACTCTTAGGATTTTTATACTTAGAGGTGTGAGCATACAGTTTTCTGAAGTTACTTCTTGTTCTACCTGAGGAGATGCAAGGTGAAAGCTGAGGGTAAAGTGGATGCTCCAAGTCAGACAAAATCCCTTTAACAAATTTATTGCACGAAGTCAAGTGCCTATCGACAACGACGCGTTAACTATGTGGTCCACTGGGACACTACTTACCCTACTGACAGTCTTCAGCATTCTACGAATTGTGACATAGTCCTTTTTAAGCAATCAGGAAAGAATAAGGGTGAACAATAAAGAAGAATAGGTAGGATGCAAGAGTTTATGAGCTGTAAGAGAAGGGGTTGAGTTATACCCGAGTGCCTTAGCTTCTTAATGTAAAATGTCAGGCGGAATATTTTACTGGAGATCGCTGAGATATGGGGAAGACCAGGAGAGATCGGAAGAGAGAGTAAGTCCAAGATACTTAGTTTCTGATTTAATTCCTATATCATTGTCGTCAATCTTACAACTGTCAAGAGAATCGACGGCTTCTTTTAACTGTTTTTTACATCTTAAGCTGAAATTAACAGTTTGATACTCAGAAGGATTCAGTTTAAGACCGTTAGACTCAGACCATTTACTGACTCCCGACAGAAAGCTGTTTATTTTGGTACAATCCAGCTGAGAAACTGTTAAGTTACCAGCGTACTTCCCAAAGTTTATTTCATCAGAGTGAGGCCAGTCATGTAAGAAGAAAGAAAAACGAAAAGGGGAAAGAACAGCGCCTTGAGGGACACCAGCTTCAGTAGGCAATGAAGTGGAAGACTTCCCTTTATACACGGTGTACTGCTTTCTTTCTGAGAAATATGAATGTAACCAGTTAACAGCCGAACATTCTGTTTGACTTGCAGCAAATTTATTTAATAAGATGCCCCTAGGGACCGAGTCAAAAGCAGATGTATAGTCTAGGAAGGCACAACGAACAAATTTAGCCCCCTTGTCTAGACTGGAAACAATGTTATGATATAAGACGGCAGCTGCACCTAAAGTGCTTCTACTGTGCTTATAGGCAAATTGTTTAGGGTCATTAAAGGATTTAAGAGAGGGTACAAGACTAAGTAGAAGTAGTTTCTCCATAGTTTTCAAAAAAGGAGAGGTAATAGCAATGGGTCTAAATTTGACACATGCTCCAGTAGATGACTTAGGTATAGGTACAACTTTAATGTCCTTCCAAACGGCAGGCACAATATTACTGGAAAAAGATTTGTTAAGTGGATCAGTGAGAGGGTGGTGACACAGAATATCAGAACATTTTTTGAAAATAATACTAGGTACATGATCTGGACCTAAGCTCTGGGAAGGGTTCAGAGACTTGAGGCACTTTTGAACATTATTTGTGTTAAAAACCTGCAAAGCGGCTATTATTAACACTATTGATGATAATAATAATAAATTGTCCAATATGTAGTTGCTGATGCGTACATAGTCAACAATAATGTAGCATTCTGCTTTTATATTATTCTTCAATAACAATTATTTTGTAGATTGTTGTTTCGACTTGTTTGAAGATGAAGTGTATCGTAATATTGAATAATTTTACAAGTGGAATTTACTCATCCTCTTTTTCTTTTTTCTTTTTTTCATTACAAGCACAAAGTATTTTTTTTAATGTTTATATATTGTGAATGGAAACTTTCAGTTGCAATCAACAATCATTTGTCGAAATAACAATAACAGCAACAACAACAATCCACCTCAACTAATTATTCTCTCTAAGATTGTTTTTCCTTCAAGAGGAGTGACTTTTAACATAAAATTTGGGGTAAATAAGGCAAGGAGGGGAAATCAATCGGCGAGGCTGTGAAATTACATCGACTGAGATGGTTAGATGCCTAGTCATCGCCTTCCTCGACGGGCTATGTTAGCTGATATAGGGTCAGGCTGGAAAAGAGCCAGCTGTGGTCAAACGAAAACATGGCACCAGTCAATGAAATCTACAACAGTTTGTTCAAGCCATGTAGGAACGTGTAGACTTCCTGGTTGGGTTCCTTGTGACGGTAAAAACCAATGGCTGGAGACAATTGGTGGTATGGCTCAAAACCGTTCTCAACGGCTAGCGCAGATGCATCCACTCCTTGTGTTTTATACTACCCAGTGAAATTATATTGTTCTTCGTTATTACTATTCCTTTTGTTTCACACCTCTGTTTACTGTCTCTATTATGCATTTCTTCTCTTGCTTTGTGTGCTACTTGGAATGTGGCGACTTGAACTGCCGCACGTTTGTGCAAAGATCTATGTGAAGAACACACAGACAATTAAGACCAAAAGCTTCAAGCACAGATACATCAGTATGAAGAAGTTAATATTAGATAGTTGGAGGCAATCAGATACAGGAAGCCTTGACTCTTTACCTAGGTTTCATGCTAGTTGGCACTCGTCAGCAAAACGTATCTGCAACCCTGGAAGAACTCATATCCCTTCTGAGGATCGAATCCGCGTCACCCAGTGCTGCAGTCAAGTCAGTCACCACTGAACTATTCGGGCTCGCGATTGACCTCCTGTAGGACTGTATTGGATACTTTTTATTGGACACTAGTTAGTAACTAGTGTAATATGTCTAGTCTTTTGTTTGATGCAGACTGAATTCCATCAGTCAGGTTTGAGACGTGGTCACCATTCTAGGTGGCTAGCCATCACGGGGCACTTTGGATTGTCTATATTAGATGGTTGGAGGCAGTCGGCAGGAAGCCTTGGACCTAGGTGAGTGACGAGTGCCAACTAGCACAAAACTAAACAAACGATTAGATACATTGCACTAGTTAGTAACTAGTGTCCAATCAAAAATGAAAAACAATTGTGATACTAATTGACGTTTGTAAGGGAAAAGAAGGTTGGTGGGAGTCGACTTTTAGAACCGTGCGTTATTTGAAAATTGCAAAATTCATTCTGTTTATTATCAGTGAGGTGAGCTGATTCGGCTCTTTGATTGGTTGACTTGAACCGAGTACGACGCTGATAGGCTCTCGACCTTAAATAAGCGGAATGGTTATCATGTGTTTATATCACTTTGTTCTGACCAGCAAGTACTACAGCTTGTGTTGTGAGTGATTTCCAACTATTCAGCAGAACATTTCCATTTTACTAAGTTCTCTGTGGTCCCTTGTAACTGGCCCGACGATTGCTCAGGAGCCTGTATTTTCTGCTGACACTCTGTGACGCCCAACATCCATGATGTTACTCAATGGTCTTTTTAGCGTACGTTCAATCCTTCTCCTTTTTTCCTTCTGCATATTTCTAGGGCGATAGGTTATTGTTTAGTTGGTTGCAGGCCAGAGTTCCTTATTGCTATTCCTTTCTGGCTGGCCATCTGATGTTGAGTATGGTGTGGGGGGGGGAGGCAGCTGTTGACAAAAGCTTTCAGTATCCTGTTGGAATTGATTTTCATGATGCGTTTATCAAGTTTCTGAATTGTATAGAAGTACTAACTTAGTATTAATATTGAGAATCTGGATATTGTTCCTTATATTGAGTGCAGTAGGTTTCCACACACCGATTTCAGAGTGATTTTTCATTTAAATGGCATGCCTACATGTTTGAAAATATTTAATTTGTGGATGGTGACTAGCAGTGGAATCCAGGATGCGCATTTCGTCTTATTTGTGACTCGTTATCTGGATGTACCTGCATTTTCCCAGTGAGTGATGATGTCCCCACCGAGGCTCGAACCCAGTGCCCATAGTTTCAATGAGAGTATTTATGTTTTACAAGAGATATGCATCTCGGTTAATTGATGTCAGTGAACTAATCTTCATAATCCCTATGAAATGGATCGTGGCAGGACCTGTCTCTTATGGCAATTCCTCTAGATATATATACGCTATTGATTTTTATAATATAGGCATGTTTCATTCGCTAATCACGCCTTTGTATCCCGAGTGGAACATAGGGCTTCAGGTTTTCATCTTTGAAATCTCAGTAGTGATGGGGTTGTTTTAATTTTACGGGGTGGGGTTGCTAGCTGTAGGCCCAACCTTCCCTCAATGCTGGCTAAACGAGGGTTAGAATTACGTTGACCGGGAGTCGAACCCTGGACCACATGCAGCGTGGTTGATAAACAATCTACGATTGAACCACCGACGATGCACTTCATGCTAGTTAATCAGCTTCTTTTTTATTCTCTCCTCTCTCTCTTTCTCTTCCCCTTCCCTTTTTCATAGATTTGATCGTTTATGTGAAATTGTTGGCTGTGAAAAAATTGCCACATTAGGCGATTGTTATTACTGTGTTGCTGGTTGTCCAAATCCTGTAGATGATCATGCTGAGCGTACAGTTGAAATGGGTAGAGCAATGTGTTTAGCTATTCAACAATTTGATGAAGATCATTCAGAACAAGTAAGTGAATATGTGTGTTGTAATTGAGAATTATTTCATCTTAAAGTATTGATTTGTAGGGATTTGATTGATTGGTTACAGGATTTCAATACTTGAAAATCAATGAGATGTGTACACTAGTGACTGGCCCTATTCAGGTAGGTAGTTAGTTACCTGGGGTTCTAGTTGGATGTCGTCACCAGTAGGGTGCAGCGGGTTGGGTGTGAGGACAGATACTCGCCGAAGACCGGTCACGCTATGTTGTGAATTGGTAGAAGTTGGAATTCATGGGCTGGCCATTGGATTGGCGGGTCCCAGTGGCTGAATGGTCCTGGGTTCAAACCCTGGGGGTGGGTGCGTACCGATGAAGAATCCCAAACTAGGCTAACCAAACAGCTGTTCAGAACTCCTAGCTGGTTTTCCAGTGGTTCTCTAACCGATGTCAGCTTATGATGAAATCCTGTGACCAATTATTTTATTCATATAAAAATTCCCATTCATACATGTTTATATATATAGTTTCACACCAAAATTATAACAGTCGTGTGGTTATATTCTGTCAATTGGAATCATCAGTTTTAAGGTATAATAGGGGTGAAAATAATTATGGAATTCAAGGTGTTAGTTAATTTGTAAATATTGGCAACAAGTTGTTACATGATCAATAATTTGTAAAATAACTTAGATAACTTTAAAAGAAAAAAGATAGAACGAATTGCATAAGAATACCAAGATACAAATAAGGTAAATTGAATTAGCTAGAATAGTAATCATAATAAAATAACAAAGTGAATCGATAATTACTTTACGCATAGATGACTTTATAGATGATCACAGCAAAGAAAGGAGGGCTGCATAGATTTCTTTTGAAATTACAGATTTGGTTTCTGTTTGGTGAATTCCGATCGCCTCTTCTGTATGTAAAAGTTGTTTTTTTGTAGGGTATGCTTTGTTAGTGTCAACCTGATGAGAGAGTTAATATTGTGATCTGCGTATAGCTTTACTCGACCGGTTTGCCTAAACAAGCTAAACAGTGTTCAAAAATCCGACAATGAACTTGCCTAAGCTTATGTCCAGTGTAACTAGGTCCACGGAAGCGTTTATACTGATAAATGCACTGGAAGAGGTAAAATTTGGCCGTCTGTCTATATTTCATGAACTAAGTATCGTTTGTCTACTGAATAAACAGGATTGCTCAGTTGCATTATAAGTTCTTTTGACGGTACTTATCGGATGTTGTGATGCAATCTCACTGTTAATATCTCTCGTGAGTTGTTGAGGAGAGCGGTTGATGAAGAGTCTATAGGAAGAAATTTATTTTCTCGCTCAATTTGTTTTTTTTTGTTTTCTAAATCATTTTATATAGAAGGTTTGTGTTCGTTTTTGACAGCAACCACAGTAATGTACAGCAACAATCTTGCCCTAGTCATTTCAATGGATGACCAGGGCATGTGTTATATATTCCAAACCATCGCCTTCCTCGTTGAATAATGTTAGCTAATATAGGATTATTCTGGAAAAGAGTTAAAGATGGTCAAGCCAACATCTGGTAAAACAATTCATGAAGTCTTTGATAGTTGCTTTGAACAACTCAGAGAGGTGTAGACTTCCTGGTTGACGTCGTGGGGATGCAAAGAACAGTGGTTTGGGAGTATTGGTGATATGACTCAAAATCTGTTCTTTATGGTGCAGTTGCGTTCACTTTTTGTGATTTTCCATATCTGTTAAGTCCTCATGGCTTTCCATGTCAGTATTCTTTCTCCCTCACCTTTCTGCTTATTTTACTTCTTCTGAATGATTTTTTTCTCTGTTTTTTATATCTTTTTGAACGTGTGGAGTGTGTCAAATTGTGAACGTTTGCACTTCTGTGTAAAGTTTTATGTTGAAACTTAGTCAAGTCAGTCAGTCAGTCTTTACTTTGTTAATGAAACTGTCTATTTGTTTGTTCTTGAATTAGTTGTGTTCTCTGAGCTTGTTGATTTAATTGAGGCGCTTTCGTCGTCCTTCTAGACATCCCTCTTCAGCGCAGATTTTAGTATAAAATGAACTCATTCGAATTCTCCATGATCTATATAATTGTATGTCCTGGCAACCATCTTCATGACTGGTAGTTGATTTACATATCTATTGATCATTTTTATTGACTTGGAATTCAAACTCTCTTGTCACGTGATTTACTTTTTTTTAGCGGGTAACTTTTGTCTATATTAATATGTTTGCTAGTCGCTGGCTGATTCACTTGACTACCAGGCTTCGAGAAATTCCTTGACACTTTTGATGTTTGCTCTGTTTAAAATTTCTGCATTTTCCTAATCGATTTGGTGTCCATAATTATCTACATGCATTGATATGAAAGAATATGTATCATGTCTTTTTACAGCTAATTTGTGTTTTTGGATTAGGGTATATATTATTATTATTTATTATTCGCTGTGGTTCCGGGTGGAACATAGGGCTTCAACAACACATCTACAGTTTTTTCTATTCTCTGCTGCCCTCTTCAGCTGGATCCACGGTTGACCATAATTTTTCACCTCCTCCTCCCTACATGATCTCCTCCATGTCACCCTTACACTGACCACGCATTTGGATTCCACTCGAGGGCCTGGCGCATGATGTCATTCGATGGCCTCCTCAATGTGTGCCCGATCCATCTCCATTTTATTCTGAATCAAATTACCTTACGACGTGGAAATAAACAATAATTAATTTGCAAATATTGGCTTGTAGGGATTTTGTTTGATAGGTTGGAGGATTTCATCATGAGCTGACATCAGTTAGAAAGCTATTGGAAAATCCTGGGAGTACTGGACAGCTGTTTCGTCAGCCTAGTTTGGGACTCATCGGCGGTACGTACCCACTGCAGAGGTTCGAACCCATGACCTTCTGGTTACAAGGCGAGCTCGTAGACCATTAAACCACTGAGACCCGACCGAATAGTCCATGGATTTTAACTTCTCTCAATTCATGTGTTCGAACCTCGGTGGATGCGTACAGATGAAGAGTCCCAAACTAGGCTGACGAAACAGCTGTCCAGTACTCCCAAGTTTTTCAATAATTAATTTTGCTTTATTCCAAAACGGTACTTATTTATACAGTGTGGCATTTTCAGCATTTGGCACAATATTGCATCTAATTTTATCGAATAACATTAAAATCAATTATAAAAATAATATTACAGGATTGTTCATGGCAGTTCCTATTTGGTATTAGTAGTGACAGTGAATATATATATATATATATATATATATATATATATTCTATAGTTGGTTTGTAAGGGTTAGTTTTGTTTTTACAAGTTGATGGAATCCGTAGAAGTTAGAATTCATGAGCCATTGAATCGGGTCCCAGTGGTTGAATGGTATACGAGCTTGACTTGTAACCGGAAGGTCCTGGGTTCGAACCATGGTGATGGGTGCTTACTGCCGATGATTCCCAAACTAGGATGGAGGAAACAGCTGTCCAGTACACCCTGGTTTTCAATGCTTCTCTAACTCATATCAATCCATGATCAACTCGTAAAATATATATATATATATATATATATATATATATATATATGGGTCTTTTTTAAGAAATTATATCCGGTGAGAGAATTAGGTCAAAAATGTGAACACAAGAAATAATAATAGTATGAAATGTAATTAAAATATTTGTGATTATAATCATACATTATAAATTATTTAAATTAATCCCAGCGTGTTAAGAAAATCAAAACAAGATTTTTTTGAACGTTTCGCTGTGTAAGCCACAGCTTCTTCAGCAGATTTATCTAACATGCTGGGATTAATTTAAATAATTTATAATGGATCAATCTGACTCGGCGCGCAAATTATTCCAGGAAGCCCGTAACACCTACGGCCTGGAAACCTATAATCTTGTTAAAATCGGATTAGATTATAATCATAGTTTAATGTCAAATGGCAAAATAATTAATGTCATATAAGGAATAATACATAAGGTGTATAGATTTTGGAAAGGGGTGCATATTTATAGGATTAGTAGGCGAATATAAAATGTTACATAACATGGTGTGAAATTTGATGAGATAGAATTCAATATTGTAAAAATAAAATAAAAAATATAAAAATTAATAATTTTGGGTTTAAAATGATAAGTGGGTCAAGTGGAAAAGATTCAGAGTGAGAATAGTAATAATAATAATAACCGTAGTAATAAGGGAAAAGTACGTAGAATAACTAAATGAACAAAATAAATAAATGTCTATCCGTCTATGGCCAAGGCATAAGTAGGGATTGTACATACTTCTTTTGTACACAAAGGTTTGTCTGGCTTAAAGTGATGAATTGCAAAGGCCTCAGGTATCTTTAGAAGTCTGTAACGAAGAAAACGCGGGAAGTTAGCATGGATTCTCTATATGTGATCTTGAAATCATGGTCAGGGTTGACAGAAGTCGATCAGGTGTTCTTAGAATAGAGCTTCACACACACTTCCTTTCTCGCTTGTAAAAGCATGCTGCTGGAATATGTTCTCGTATCCGTGTGGAAAGCGTCCTCCTACGACGACCAATGTACCTTGCTCCACAAGAGGATCAGGTGAACTGATTTATGCATATGGAGGCGGCCAGACGGGGGAGCTTATCTTTTACAGAGGTAGAGAACAACATGGCATATTGCCTGATATGTATTACTAAAAAAAATGAATTATATAAACCTACACATTTGTAAAAAATTATATTTGTAAAATCTCAGCGAGATTGAAATGAGTAATTCCAACGTTTCGTTCGGCAATCTGGTCCGAACTTCTTCAGGGAAATTAATCGAAATTAACATAACAGAGGTTTATATATAAAAGGAACATTCCTTGTTCTTAAAAACTTTGTCCAATCATGAGTCATTCAACAAGTATAATAAACAAAACTTTTTATGAGCTGTGATCAAAATTTGACCTCAGACTTACAAATATTGGTCTACCTTTGTTAAACACTTCAAACAGAGTGTGCATGTATGTGTGTGTGGGTAAACAGTTGTAAAACATTTCTTAACGTCTCCATAAGAAGA